GGTGGCTCCTGGAGGCACAGCCAGATCCGATGAGCAAAAAAACAAACAAAAAACATAGCTATGACATAGAGACCATGAGTACTGTTGATGGCTGCACATTTTCTTCTGTATACTCTCCGTTCTGATTGAAATAGTGCTGCTTACTTTTGGTATAAAGGCAACACTGTGTGAGATGAGGCAAAGCTCATCAATTCTGTTAGTAACTCTAGAGCTGGCTTTTGTGATCAACAGTAGTAAAACTGTTTGCATTGTGAACATTTTTGTCTCCCTCTATCACAAAGTGAGCGACAGAACATAAACATAAGTGCATATTTGAAATCTGAGTAAATTAACAAGTAAATCATTGCAATTACTGTAATTTGTAGGAGCAGGGTATCCATTTTTATTCACTTCTAAATTGTTGTGGCAAAGACAATGTTGTAAACTCTTTGTGAGACATTAACTTATCATTAATCTGAATTCTGCACTTAAAGAATTATTATTATATCCAAAAAGCTTGTATATGGGGTTGAATCTTTTGTTAGATTTTGTAGACTGTAAAAATGACTTTTACTAATATTACCTGGGCTTACAGGAGCAGAACAGGCACCAGAGTCTGTTATCAGTCATCATTTCTTACAAACAGTGGCATTTATAATTTTCTGTTGCACTCTTTGAGTACTGTCTAGTTTCTGTGTTTTGTATCTGTGCCACAAAAGTCACAACTGGACTTGTTCTACTGATGCTGTGGTTTAATGTAACCAGTCATATGTTGACAGTGTTGTGATTGCCATGATTTTAAATAAGAATATGTATATAAAAGTATTTGGACTACAACCTTCAGTTGTCTGATTACTTTCAATACATTCACACCACAGGCTCTAATATTCAATTCCAGCCTTTTACTCAGATCCAATCCTTTTCTGTTCATGGTTCACATCCATGTGAAGTGGCATGTGTCCTGCTTTGACCTGAACTGGCACACTCACACAGATTAACTAAATGTGAGATGTGTATAACAATAGCATCATTTGTGTGACAGTCAAATTGCATAATTTCCTCAAAAAC